TACAACCCGAGCATGGACTGGCGGGCGGGCGATTGTCGCATCAAATGGAGTGGCGAGTGGCGACGACTACCCAAGTGGAGCTGTCAAGATTCGACAACATCGACGGTCAGCGGGTGACAATCAAGCGAGCCATGATTCGCGGGGCACAACTGTATGCTGCCCGATGGATCGCATCAACGACTATCGACACGCCGACCGACATCGACAAACTCTGCGCGGCAGTCTCGGATGATTTGGCAGATGTGATTTGAAAACACGCCGACATTTTTTCTGACGACCTACCTGCGAGTTTGCCACCTGAGCGACAACAATACCACAAAATCGAGCTGGAGCCCGGCGCGCAGCCTACTGTACGGACTCAATGGCAGCTGACTCAGCCCGAGCTGGATAAGCTTCGACACTTGCTGGACTACCTACTCGAGAACGGATTTGTTCGCCCCAGCACTTCACCGTTTGCCGCTCCGATATTGTTCACCCCGAAAAAGGATGGCGGTCTACGAATGTGTATTGACTACCGCACCTTGAATCGGGTTACTATTAAGTCCCGCTATCCAATCCCACGTGCCGACGAACTCATCGACCAGCTTCGCGGAGCCAAATTCTTCTTGAAAATCGACAAGCGTGGCGGTTACCACCAAATCCGCGTGAACAAAACTGACGGCTAAAAAACGGCGTTTCGAACCCTGTACGGGAGTTACGAATACACGGTTATGCCTTTTGGCTTAACAACCGCGCCTTCGACATTCCAGTTAACCATGAACAAGGTTTTTCGGCCGCTGCTGGATAAATACGCCATCGTGTATGTCGACGACATCCTGATCTACAGCACTACCCGGGAGCAGCATTTGAAAGATTTGGAAGCCGTTTTCTCCCTTCTGCAGCAGCACCAACTCATCACCAAGGGCTCTAAGTGTGAGTTTTTAAAACACGAGCTGGAGTTTTTGGGCCACGTCATTTCTATCGACGGTGTTAAAATCGACCCCAAGAAGATTACGACGATCCAAGCCTGGAAGCCGCCGTCTAATCTCCGCGAACTTCAGAGTTTCCTGGGCTTTGTGAATTACATCCGCCATTTCATTCCGAACATGGCGGGGGTAACCTCCCCTCTCACGGATCTCCTGAAGAAGGGGAAGTTTTATGAGTGGCGGGGAGAGCAGCAGGCTGCGTTCGAATAGCTCAAACTTTTCCTGACTACACCTCTGGTTCTTCGGATTGCAGATCCTCACCGTCCGTTCGAGCTCATCACCGACGCTAGCGATCTGGCCGTTGGTGCAGTACTATTACAAGACTTCGGCGAAGGCCTCCAACCCATTGCCTACGAGTCACAAAAGTTGAACCCGACCGAGCAAAATGATCATGTCCACGACAAAGAGTTACTCGCCATCGTTCACGCTTTCAAAGTCTGGCGCTGTTACCTGACGGGCGCAGACGTGACAGTTCGAACAGACCACAAATCGCTACAGTTCATCCGCGCCCAACCGACACTGAATCCTCGACAGATTCGCTAGCTCGACTACCTCGAGTCCAATTTCCACTACATGGTCACCTACAAACAAGGGGGTTAGCAACATCGCTGATGCACTGACTCGCCCTTCAGTCCACATTGTCGTCGTCCTAATTACCGAAGCTAATCCGCTGCTAACTGGCCTATTTACTCACGGATACAGTACTGACCCGTTCTTTACCACTAACAGTCATCCCCAACTAACGGTCAAGCAAGGGGCATATCACCCGGTACCAATTTGATTTGGGTTCCAACCTACCGTACCCTACGGGAATTATTGATCCAAGAAGCACACGACTCGAATTTCTCGGGTCACTACGGCGTCGAAAAAATCGCCAGATTACTGAGCCGTAATTATTACTGGCCCGATTTGCTGACCGACGTGCAGCAGTACGTCACCTCTTGCGTCACGTGTCAACGCATGAAGTCATCCCGGCTTCGACGTGCTGGATTGCTGCAGCCACTCGAGCAACCCAGCCGACCTTCGCAACAAGTGACGATGGATTTTGTCACTGGCTTACCAGCTGGTCGGAGCGGTAACGACGAGATTCTCGTCGTCGTTGACTGGTTGACCAAAATGGCCCATTTCGCCGCCTGCAAAACGATAATTACTGTCGAATAGACAGCGAAACTGTTCCTCGTGAACATCGTGCGGCTACACGGCATCCCCTCGGCAATCATCAGCGATCGTGACCCACGGTTCACGTCCAACTTCTTGACAAAAACCTGGTAGTAGTGCGGCACACGTCTGCATCTATCCATAGCATACCACCCGCAATCGGGCGGCCAGACTGAACGCACTAATCAGATGATTGAGCAGTTGATTCGCACAACGTGCACAGACCCGACCCAATGGGAAGACGCCCTTCCCTTGATCGAGTTTGCGTACAACAACGCTCCATCGTCCACGACTACTCCGTCCCCGTTCTTCCTTAATTACGGGATAGATCTGACAACCCCGCTATCGCCCCCGATAGAAAACCCGGCACCAAGATCTCAGCAGTTCGTCGAAAACCTCCGACAGTCTCAGCAAAAAGCCACTGATGCCATCCTCAATGCCAATTAGAGAGCTAAGCAGCAAGCTGACCGACGACGCCGAGACTTAACACTTGCCCCTGGGCAATTGGTCCTGCTCAACACCAAGAATTTGGGAATTCCCCTACCTAATAAATTACGACCAAGATTTTGCGGCCCATTCCACATCACCCGCATGGTGACACCAATCACCGCCCAGCTGCAACGAATCCATGATTCTTTCCACGTCAGTCTCTTGCGACCGTTCGTCCCGAGTACGACTAATCTCGACCGTCAACACATCAATCCTACGGTCAATCCAGTACTCGAGCCAACGATCGAGCCGTCCAAGATTTTCGCTCATCGCGTACGAGGCCATCAAGACGCAGCAGCCGTCGATTTCCTTGTACGACGGGTAGATCGTACGACTGACGACGATCTTTGGGTCTCCGCAGCTACGCTCGGCGAACACAAAGTAGTCCGGGACTATTTACACCGACGACGGGTCCTGGATGTGGGTAGTCTCATCCCGAAAGGGGGGGTGGTGTAAGGAAATTCCCTTTTCCTTACTGGGCTCGACTACAGCGCGTACGTCCTCGACTCTCGGAAGTCCAGGCTCGGCCAACTTCTTCGGTCCCGAACCATTTCGTTAACCCAAACTGCGTACGTCATAGACACGCAGTGCTTCCGTGGCTTTCGCCAACCGGACCGGCCCAACCTGTTTGCGAGGTTCTCGGCTAGCCCTGTTCGTGCCTATAAATACCTAGACCCTAATTTGTATCGAGACTCTTGAATCATGACTCCTTTATTACACTACCTGTTATAATTCTGATTAATTCATAATAGGTACGATCTCTACAAATTTATGCTTCTTATGGAGTCCCTCCTGAAAATTCTCCAAGGCTCTAGCCCCTCGAGAATCATAAGTTTTCATTAAAGCATATTTATAAGATAACTTTAACGAATCCCTAAAATTTCTTGGGTTCTAGTAGTTTCCCCATCTTGGCAGAGTCTTTTTCCGCGGAGTCAGATTTTTTTCTCGGCGATTTTCCCCGACCAAGACTGGTCATGGGGTGGAGATTTTCCCTTATCATTTCCACCTATTCGCGTCGAATCAACTTCGCTAAAATTGATTTTTATGGAATCCCACGGCCGTTTTCGGATATTTTCTTTTTTCGCCAGCTATATCCGCAATCACTAGCAATTCCCATCGTTTGTCTTCTAATTGGCCAAAGAATTTCCGTCACTATTGTGCGCCCGATACTCTGCAAGTGCGGCTTTCATTTTATTATAGTCGTAGATTCAATGGCTCGGCAACCAGCAAAAATCATACGTGAAGTTGTTGTTTTTCAGACGTGGCTCCCGTCGAATCTGTCACTTTCCCTCGGGTCGGCGAACGTGGGGTGAGTCGAGCAGTCGCCTTGTCGTGCGCTGCCGACGTACGCCCGTCGTGTTCCGTTGTTCACCATGTGAAATCGCTCTGCTGCCGAAACGACGTCATTGCAGCTCGCATCATTTGTCGCTGCTTCCTGTCATTTGTCTTCGGTCTTCATCCCGACGAGATATGACTGTATTTTTTCTCATTCGGTCAGGTCGGGAATGTGGTTATAAAATTCTTCCATCTGCTGCGCGTACTGTGCTACACTCCCGAACTGTCGATGACGATGATTTTTTTCCCGGGCAAAGAAACCGGAATCAATCGGCTCGAAACGTTTCAGCAGGTCGGTGCGGAACTGCTGCCACGTGGCTTCGTCGTGGATGAAGGTACTGTTGTCGCAGATCCACTCGAGTGCTGGCCCTTGTATCAGTGTCGCCGCGAGTCATGTTTTATCCGTCTGAAAAATAAGCTCGCTTTTAATTTTGCCGTCAGAAATTGACAGTACCCGAGACTCACTCTGTTTCCAGGTTCGTTCAGCGACGTGCTCTGTAGTTGACGGAGATTTTCGGGAACAGTTGCTGAGAACAGCGAAATGCCGAGGTACAGTGTATAACCAATCAAATTGTGAAACGCGATCCAATGAGAGACGAATTAACCTAAATTAACGTTAAGTCTCCCCTCGCTGCTCAAAAAGCGACAAAACCCTCCTCTCTTTGCGCTAAACGTGACTACTGTGCGCGGATCGCAAGTATCAGTAACCGAGCAACTAAAAACCCCTCTCGAGATCGCCGCTCCACCACACCAACCGCCGCATAATTCAATCATCCATAGTCTATCTCCACTTCACGGGCGTGTCCAGAGTGGATGTAGACAACATCCGCTATGGGGTACAACACGGTTTCCTGGGTTTCCGTAAGTTTCTAGAAACGTTCGTATGTCTTTACGATCGGTGCCCCCATATCCCTTTTGTCGACGGATGTCGCTGGGCACTCTGCACGCGCTCTCAGATTTATTTATCGCTGTCTCCAAGCCTATCACCTCGTCACCCCCTAGACACCTCCTAGCCCTACCATCACCATGCCGCCGTTCCGCTGCGTAAGCGCGCAGTCACCGCCTCGCGTGACGCTTTCTAACGGGCGACACGCGGTTTCCGCAATGAGTCCGCTTGCCTACGGCAGCCAGCGCGACAGCTGCCAGATCCGAGTCGTCCCCACGTTCCACGCCGTGCTTTTGAGTCGACTCAAAAGCGTTCCACGCCGTGAATCGCGCGCAGCGTGGATCGCAGGGCCCGATTGGTAACGCCTTAGAGCAAAAATACAGACGAGAGTGGTTTATTTTCTCGGTACTGGCGCAGGTGTGCGTCTTGGTCCATGGCGGCACAGCCGAGAGTTTCTTCTATCAGAAGTCTCGGAACCCGCGATTTTTTTCGTGGGTTGTGAACTTTTCTCTATCGAGGTGCTGAGAGCCAGAAGCCGCTATCGCACGGTTGGTCGCACGCTTCGTCGCACGATTGGTCGCACAGGCTGTTCGCGCAGGCTGTCGTGCTCTCCGTCGCTCCGAGAAGCCTAATAATTTACGAGCTTTTGTTAACGGCTGCTGTGTCGACGGCCTCTCGCTCAACGAAGTTACGGAAGTTGCACACACGGACTGGATAGAACAAAACCAGGCTGTCTAATTCAACTACAGGTGCCCAATCACTTGGAACGTTTGCCGACCAGCTAGGGGTTCCCGGTGTTGCACTACAGAGAGGCGTCCTTTGAGGGGGACAGCTGTACGAGGGAGCAAGGCGCGAGGGAGAATGGGACCGGCGGTCATTGGGAGTCTCAGATCTAGGCCGTCCGCAATGGCGAGATCAGCGGTTAGGATGCCACGGATGGTGCCTCTAGCGCTATCACTACCGTCAGTTGCGTCGTCTTTGCCCTCGTTACAGTCACCACGCACTTCCACGAACAAGGAGCTACAATGTGTGATAAAAAAGAAGAAATGTCAGAAGAAAGCAAGCAAACATAGTGTCAGTCATGGCACTGTAACGAGTGGCACCCTCGCGTTTGTCACCTTGCTGCTGATGTCAGCAACCTCTACTCTAGCACTGGCATCATCTGCGTCTGTGCAAGCAGCAGCTGCAGCATCATCAGCACCAGCAGCACCAGCAGCACCAGCAGCACCAGCAGCAGCACCAGCAGCACCAGCAGCACCAGCAGCAGCACCAGCAGCAGCAGCAACGCCCTCCTCTGCACCTGTGCGGGAACCAGCAGCACCAGCCCCGCCAGCAGCGCCAGCAGCAGTAGCAGCGGCAACGCCCTCCTCTGCATCTGCTCCTCGCCCACCGTCCTTCCCTGCTGCTGCCGTCACCGCCACTGCTGCTGTGGGAGGCGCTGCTGCCCTCAATGCTGGTGAGCTTGTGGGGCCTCGGGGGTTCTTTCTCCTCCCATGTGTTTGGCTCCAGTCTTCCCGCCCTGCCTGCACTCACCTCCCTGCGCCCAATCATTCCGCTCACCCACAGTCCCCGTTCCATCGAGTTTCTTTTTTAGGGTTCTCAACATCTAACTCGACTCACATCCGTCGCTCCCGCGCCGTGCTTTGGTGTTACGGTGGCTTTAGATGGGCAAAAGCACCATCGGACTTCTCTCCCCCCCACCACCCCTGCTGTCTGATCCTTCCACATTCTCCCTTCCCCTGTGCTTTCATCCGTCCTTCCGCAGCCAACCAGCCAGACGCCATCCCAAACCCGACAGTCCGCCCCCCCCCCACGGACCCCTTCTCTCGCTCACCCCGACTCTTTCTTGACATTCCCTTCCCTTAGTTCTCATCCCCCCCCCTCTCCATCCCTCCCTTCCCCTGTATAACTCCCCTCTCTGCCCCAGCAGCCACAGCCAACCAATCAGACGCCATCCCCGACCCGATAGTCCGCCCGCCCCCCACCGACCCCTCTCTACTTCACCCGCGGCCTCCCCCCATCGGGGGAAGCATCATCTCCTGCCCTCCTGCTCCCTGCTTCGGGGTCTGCAAGGCATACGTTGTCTCGAGTACCATACATAATCCCTACCCTTGTTCTGCTCTTCCCTCCATCCTCCCTCCCTGTCCCTGTAACCCCCTTCCCTGTCCCAGCAGCCGCAGCCAACCAATCAGACGCTATCCCGGACCCAATAGTCCGCCCGCCCCCCACCGACCCCTTCCTGCTGCACCCCCTGCCTCCCCCAATCCGCGGGGCCATCGTGCCTGCCCCTCCCGCACCCTGCTTCGGCGTGATGGTCGCTTACGTGGTGGAGAGCATCATTGACATTCCGTCTGTGTGGAACGGGAGTGTGAAGCCGTATGGCTTCAAGTCAAAGATTGAGCTACTGAATGCGGGCAAGAGGTCAGTTCCCCCTCGTCTTCTTCTCCTCCTCCAGCTCCTCCTTCTACTTCGTCTTCTTCCTCTCTCTTCAGTGGCACGCTGTCAGTTGTGCTTACCGTGGCCTACATTGTGGAGAGCATCGTTCACGTTCCGTCAAATTCCAAGATAGCGGTCCTCCGTGCCGGCAAGAGGTGGGTGGGTTCATGTGCTTTTGAGTCGACTCAAATGCTGGCAAGAGGTGGGTGGGTTCGTGTGCTTTTGAGTCGACTCAAATGCCGGCAAGAGGTGGGTGGGTTCGTGTGCTTTTGAGTCGACTCAAATGCCGGCAAGAGGTGGGTGGGTTCGTGTGCTTTTGAGTCGACTCAAATGCCGGCAAGAGGTGGGTGGGTTCGTGTGCTTTTGAGTCGACTCAAATGCCGGCAAGAGGTGGGTGGGTTGGTGTGCTTTTGAGTCGACTCAAATGCCGGCAAGAGGTAGGTGGGTTCGTGTGCTTGTGAGTTGACTCAAATGCCGGCAAGAGGTGGGTGGGTTCGTGTGCTTTTGAGTCGACTCAAATGTCGGCAAGAGGTGGGTGGGTTCGTGTGCTTTTGAGTCGACTCAAATGCCAGCAAGAGGTGGGTGGGTTCGTGTGCTTTTGAGTCGACTCAAATGCCGGCAAGAGGTGGGTGGGTTCGTGTGCTTTTGAGTCGACTCAAATGCCGGCAAGAGGTTGGTGGGTTCGTGTGCTTTTGAGTCGACTCAAATGCCGGCAAGAGGTGGGTGGATTCGTGTGCTTTTGAGTCGACTCAAATGCCGGCAAGAGGTGGGTGGGTTGGTGTGCTTTTGAGTCGACTCAAATGCCGGCAAGAGGTGGGTGGGTTCGTGTGCTTTTGAGTCGACTCAAATGCCGGCAAGAGGTGGGTGGGTTCGTGTGCTTCTTTTTTCGGTGTCACCATGGCTTACGGTTTGGCTGATGAGAGCGTTTGAGTTGACTCAGAACCAGTCACCATGGCTTACGGTGTGGGAGGCGAGGGTGGATTTCACTCGCAACGACCTGATCACGCCACGTGTCTCCTCCGTCACCCCTGTGCTCTCCCTCGTCCCTTCACCCAATCCCATCACTCTCCCCCTAGATCCTGTACCGCAGAGACCTGGGGTGGGAGGTGAGGGTGGAGTTCTCTCGCAACGAGCTCATCCCTTGAATTGTACTCTTCCTGTTCCCTTCTTTTTGCTCTCCTTCGTCCCTTCTCCCAATCCCTGCCCCATTCCCTGACGCTTGTACCGCAGAGACCTGGTGGGGTGGGAGGTGAGGGTGGAGTTCACCCGCAACGAGCTCATCACTCTGCTGGGCAATGCACAAGTGGAATTCGAACTGCCGTACCCAGGTGAGTGGGAAATGTGAGACTGCAGAGTGGTTTGAATCATTAAGGCGCCTCAATCATCACCCTACTGGGCAATGTGCAAGTAGGATTCGAGCTGCCGTACCCAGGTGAGCCACAAAGAACCAGTGAATGGCCTACCATGTCACAAAACAGTGAAATATCCCAGCTTAGGTCACTATCCCACTGCTTCAAAGTGGTCATCTTAAGGCGACTCTCAAATAACACCCAAGTAGCAGCTGAACCACCTACTTGTGCTCATACCGAGACACTCTAAAGTGCTTTTCCTGGTGAGCTGCAGCTGGCACGCCCAGTCGTGTCTATCTGTCCTCCGAATCAGACTTCCGAATCAGACTTCCACCTCCCTTACCGGCCTTACCGGCCTTACCGGCCTTACCGTCCTTACCGGCCTTACCGGCCTTACCGGCCTTTCTTCCCTCTTGCCCCGTCCCGCCCACACGCACAAACATTGCCCCCAGGCTCCGCTCTTCTCTTCTCCAGCATTGAGGATCAGAGCGGCCGCCTCATCACCGCACTCCATGCATTCTCTGATGAGGCGGTCCATGCACTCCCTGCATTCTCTGATGAGGCGGTCCATGCACTCCCTGCATTCTCTGATGAGGCGGTCCATGCACTCCCTGCATTCTCTGATGAGGCGGTCCATGCACTCCCTGCATTCTCTGATGAGGCGGTCCATGCACTCCCTGCATTCTCTGATGAGGCGGTCCATGCACTCCCTGCATTCTCTGATGAGGCGGTCCATGCACTCCCTGCATTCTCTGATGAGGCGGTCCATGCACTCCCTGCATTCTCTGATGAGGCGGTCCATGCACTCCCTGCATTCTCTGATGAGGCGGTCCATGCACTCCCTGCATTCTCTGATGAGGCGGTCCATGCACTCCCTGCATTCTCTGATGAGGCGGTCCATGCACTCCCTGCATTCTCTGATGAGGCGGTCCATGCACTCCCTGCATTCTCTGATGAGGCGGTCCATGCACTCCCTGCATTCTCTGATGAGGCGGTCCATGCACTCCCTGCATTCTCTGATGAGGCGGTCCATGCACTCCCTGCATTCTCTGATGAGGCGGTCCATGCACTCCCTGCATTCTCTGATGAGGCGGTCCATGCACTCCCTGCATTCTCTGATGAGGCGGTCCATGCACTCCCTGCATTCTCTGATGAGGCGGTCCATGCACTCCCTGCATTCTCTGATGAGGCGGTCCATGCACTCCCTGCATTCTCTGATGAGGCGGTCCATGCACTCCCTGCATTCTCTGATGAGGCGGTCCATGCACTCCCTGCATTCTCTGATGAGGCGGTCCATGCACTCCCTGCATTCTCTGATGAGGCGGTCCATGCACTCCCTGCATTCTCTGATGAGGCGGTCCATGCACTCCCTGCATTCTCTGATGAGGCGGTCCATGCACTCCCTGCATTCTCTGATGAGGCGGTCCATGCACTCCCTGCATTCTCTGATGAGGCGGTCCATGCACTCCCTGCATTCTCTGATGAGGCGGTCCATGCACTCCCTGCATTCTCTGATGAGGCGGTCCATGCACTCCCTGCATTCTCTGATGAGGCGGTCCATGCACTCCCTGCATTCTCTGATGAGGCGGTCCATGCACTCCCTGCATTCTCTGATGAGGCGGTCCATGCACTCCCTGCATTCTCTGATGAGGCGGTCCATGCACTCCCTGCATTCTCTGATGAGGCGGTCCATGCACTCCCTGCATTCTCTGATGAGGCGGTCCATGCACTCCCTGCATTCTCTGATGAGGCGGTCCATGCACTCCCTGCATTCTCTGATGAGGCGGTCCATGCACTCCCTGCATTCTCTGATGAGGCGGTCCATGCACTCCCTGCATTCTCTGATCTGAACCGCCTCAAATTGCGCCCCCTCCTCCCCCCCGCACTGCTGTCCTCTTCGGCTCCCCCAAATCTCCACCAAGCTCAGCTTCCCTCTCTCCTCCCCTCCACGCTGTCCCTGCCCCCTCCCCCTCCCCCTCCCCCCTTCCCCCCCCACCACCCCCTTTCCCCGGCCCCAGGCTCCGCTCTCCTCTTTTCCAGCATTGAGGATCAGAGCGACCGACTCATCACTGCGATCCATGCGGGCGGCGACGTTCGGCAGTATGTGGTGTTTGCTGAGCTGTTTGGGACGGAGTTTGGGGCGGCAACTGCCAGCAAGGCGCTTCCGCGCACGCTCTACCTCACCACGCCTGGTATGTACGGCCTAGGATCGTTCCTTTTTTTCCAGTCAGACTCGGATGGTCTCAACAACACACTCCATACGCTCACATCCCCTCGTATGTAGGGTTTATGCTTGTGCGGCTGTTCAGCAATGAAGTTTGCCCCTTTGTTTGTTTTCTAAGGGGTTGGCTAAGCTGGGTTTCCCCTATCTCGCCTGCTCATCTCCCCTCCCCTTAGCAGGTTTTCACTGTTCATACGACCACCCTCAGTTCAAGCCGATTCCAGAACTCCCTATCTTTTCTGTCTCCCTCCCCATCCCCATCTCCTCATCTCCCCTTCCCCCCTTCCCCCCTTCCCCCCTTCCCCCTTTTCCCTGCAGGTTTCCAGTGTGCGTCCAACCGACCGCAGTTCCCATCTCCCAACAGAATTCAGGTGAGTTGACAAGAGCAGCGCTCTCCCATGATACGTCCGCTTGATTTTCTTACGGACAAAAAACAAGTTCCTCGCCTTGTCCCTTCCTTCTGCCTTGTCTCCTTTCAAAAGGTAGCATCCTTTTGAACCCTCAGAATTCTGCTACATAATATGCCGCCTGGCCTTCCCCTTCTCCCCCGGCTGTCCTCATTCCCCACCAATTGTGCTGCAAGCAAAAAGAAGGACCACCCACCTACCCCTACCCCCCACTACACTTCTTCTTCCACCCTTTCCACCTGCCCTTTCCACCTGCCCTTTCCACCTGCACTTTCCCCTGTTTCCGACCTCCCCTTGCGCAGGTCTGTTGCAAAGAGACCGCCTACCCGCCTCCACCTCCCCCCAGCCCACTTCCGCACCTCCCCCCCATCGTTCCGGCATTGATGGTCCAGATCGACATCACAGCAGCAAGCGATCTGGACCATCAGATGCTCGTCACGATCCGCAACCTGCAGGCAGACCGGCGCGTCGGGCCCCCGAGGAATGACCCCTGGGCGGTCAGCTGGCGATGGACCCAGAATGAGGTGAGGAGGGGTTGTGGGGTTTAAGATTATAGTTCCAGGGTTTGTGAAGGGGTTCAAGCAATCTGGATTCTGGACTGTCTTGTTACCATCTGCAACCTGCAGGCAGACCGGCGTGTCGGGCCCCCAAGGAATGACCCCTGGGCGCTCAGCTGGCGACGGACGCAGAACGAGGTGTGCAGAGTTCAAGGTCTAGGGTCAGAGGTTTTGGGTTAGAGATTTAGGGAGAGATATCCAAACCATCAGATGCTTGTCACTATTCGCAACCTGCTGGCAGACCGGCGGGTTGGGACCCTGAGGAATGATCCCTGGGCGCTTAGCTGGCGATGGACGCAGATTGAGGTGAGGAAGGGGGGGAGGAGGGGAAGGGAGGGAGGGAGGGGGGAGAGAAGGGAAAACGGGTGTGTGCATTCGGAGCTGATTTGTGTGTTGGGCCCCCGAGGAATGCTCCCTGGGCTCTCAGCTGGCAATGGACCCAGAACGAGGTATGAAGGGGTTACAGTTAGAGGTTTAAGGGTTTGGGTTACGGGAAGGGCTTGGAGTTTGGGGATCGGGGTTTGGGGTTTGGGGTTTGGGGAAGGATATTTTGGAACATAGGTGAAGGCAGAATGAACATGGGCACTCGTCTTGAACCGCTACGTGCAGCCAGAATGAGGTGAGAATAGGGGTTCGGGTTGAAGGCGGGGTTCGGGGTTAAAGTTTTTGACACTAAAGCAGCAACAGACATGCAATGGCCAACATGGTCTATCTTCTCCTTCTCCCCTCTTTTTTTTTTTGGGAGGCAAATGGAGCATAGGCAAGGCAACACAGCAAGGCAACCGCCTACATCCCACCTTCTCAGCGGCCCACGGCGCACGGGTAGCCAATGCACTTTCCTCCTCCGTTTTCCTCTTCTACCCCCCCTCACAAACCCCCTGTTCCACACAGATTGTGTGGGAGGCGTCTGGGGCACAGGCTACGCAACAGGGCAATTGCCAGCAATCCACCTCTGCAGCAGTCTACGGCGGGGGGATCGCCAGCGCCCACTCCTGCTCGCCCCGCCCCACCTTTGTGGACCTCCCAGGGAGTGCTTATTACTCGGAGAGTGGGAGGGACTTGGGGGCGACCCTGGGAGTGACGCTCTCCTGCTGCAAGAATGGGTCCATTGGGCTGCCCGCGTTTCCCTATGGCGACCCTGCTCTCACACAGTACCTGGTGGGTGTGTAGTGTGCTGCTTCCCCCTTCATGTTTCCCCCTTCATGTCCCCCCCGCTCATATGACTTAAGAGTTGGAGGGACTTGGGGGCGAACCTGGGAGTGACGCTCTCCTGCTGCAAGAACGGGTTACCTGGGCTGCCCGCGTTTCCCTATGGCGACTCTGCTCTGGTGTGTGTGTGTAGCAGTGTAGCTGTGTGGGTGCATGGGTTTGTGGGTGCGTGGGTGTGTGGTGCGTGGGTGCATGGGTGCGTGGGTGCGTGGGTGCGTTGGTGCGTGGTTATGTGGGCAGCAGTCATTCCCATTTCTCACCTCTGTCTCCCACACCCCATTCATTCTTCTCCAGGCCACCACCTCACTGGCTCAGTTCCGCACATTGCACCTCATTGCGCATCGGTCGCACGCAGCAATTCAATGCCATCCCCGCCAATGCTCCTTCCTTCATGTGGGTGTGTGTACAACACAACTGTTTCCATGCAACCATATTCCTCCTCCCCCCCCCCCCCCCTTCGTCTTTCCCCTTCTCAGGGCAACACCTCACTGGCGCAGTTTCGTCTGCGCATCGGTCGAGCACGCCAGTTCAAGTCCATACCCGGCATCGCCCCGCCCCGCAACCTCTCTCTGGGCCTCCCAGGGATAGTCTGCTCTGCTGCCATTCGCATCGACCCCTCCCAGTTCCCGGTAAGCAATAGTTTCTTGCTTCTAATGGATTGGGTTGCAGTGGCACGGGGTTTCTCATCTCACCCCCTTCCCTCATGACTCTCTCCCCACCCCCAGGTCAACCCGTCCCGCAACCTATCAGCGGTTGCCACGTGGTCGCTCCCCCGCCCCGCGTGCTGCATGTCCTTCTCTGCTGCCTCTAACCACACTGGCTCCCCCCAGGGCAGCAGCACTGGGGGTGCAGCAATGGGGATTGCAGCACCCAGCACCCAGCACCCAGCACCTAGACCACTGTATCCTTGTACCCAGTCCCTTCCCCACTCCTCCCGCGCCACCCCCCCCACCAGGTCAACCCGTCCCGCAACCTATCAGCGGTTGCCACGTGGCGCTACTCCTGCTACCGCGACCCCTCCTCCCCACCCCCCCGCCCGGCGTGCTGCGTGTCCTTCTCTGCTGCCTTCAACGCCACTGGCTCCCCCCAGGGCAGCTGGGGGAGCATCCCCTTTGGGATCAGCCGCAGCAGCAGCAAGGGGGGCGGCAGCGGGCAGTTCTACGTGGCTCCCTGCAAGAGCTGTGCCTGTGGCTGTCCAGGAGCGGCAGGAGAGGCTGCCACTGCTACTACCACCTCTTCCTCCTCCGCCTCCTCGTCTTCCTCTTCTTCCTCCTCTTTGCTCTCCTCCGTTCCGCCCACGTCTCCTTTCCCCCCTCCATCACTTTTGAGCCTCCTCGCTCCTCTGTCTGCTGCTAAGAATGGGACTGCTACTAACAGTACCAATCGCCACGTGGGGCTGCGTGATTGGCCCATGTGTGCTGCACCTGGTGAGTCTTTAGTCCAATGCGTATCCCTTTCTTTCCCGTTTTCTCCTCCTCTCCTTCCATATCCCCTTCCTGCTTCCCTCCTTTCCGTCCTCCTCCCCTCCCTCCTTCCTCCTCCCCTCTCTCCTTCCTCCTCCCCTCTCTCTGTCCTCCTTCCCTCTTTCCTTTCATCCTGCATGCATAAACCCTCCATTCTCTCCTCTCCCTCATACAAACCCACCCCCCCAACCCTCCCCCCTCCCCCCCCCGCACCACCACCCACCCTCTCCCCCTCTTCCCCCCCTTTCCTGGAACCTTCTCTTTGTTATATTCCAGACACACTCTTTGATACGATTGGAGGGAGGGGGGATGTGGTCCCTTCCAAGAAGCTTCCTGGCTGGTACGAGGAAGACAGGGATTTTATTTCTGCCCGGTGTCGCGACAACTGCCCGATTCACATCCACTGGCATGTCATGGACGTGTTTGACGACGGATGGGTCGCCAAGGTGGGCTTCTCTCGTTGGGTTGCATATGCGTGCGTATGTCCATACATACATGTGCATTCTCTCGTTGGGTTGCATATGCGTGCGTATGTCCATACATACATGTGCATTCTCGAGACCCAGCTCACATCCACTGGCATGTCATGGACGTGTTTGAGGATGGATGGGTTGCCAAGGTGGGCAGCCTTATGGTCTACCGTCTTTAAGTTGTATCATGCATGCATGCGTGTGAGTGTGGTTGCATGCGTGCATCCACTGGGTTGTCATGGACGTTTTTGAAGATGGATGGGTTGCCAAGGTGGGTTGCCAAGGTGGGTTGCCAAGGTGGGTTTACTGCTCGCTCATTTGCTCTTTATGTTACACGGATATGGACGCAATGTAAATGGCCTGCTTTTGAGCGGGGGGGTCGAATGTAGATGTGTGCGTGTATGCATCCTCCGGCATGTCACGGTGAATTTGGAAGACATGTCACCGGCATGTCGCGGATGCATACATGCACACACTGATTTTTCAGGCGCCTTAAAATTAGCATACATGCATACACTGATTTTTCAGGCGCCTTAAAATTAGCATACATGCATACACTGATGAAGGTGGGAAGATTGCGAAGGTGGATTGGTGTATATGTTTTCCAGTCCTGATTCGGACTTTTCTTGTGCCTTAAGAGTGCACGCATACATGTACGCATGTGATTGTGCGTGCATCTGTATGTTTGTGGGTGGGTGTTTCCATGCATATTCTTAGTATGAGTGCATCCCTTCTTATCCCGTCTGCTCACTCTCGCATCCCCCTCAGCATGTCATTTGCATCATCCTCATCCCACCCTTGCCTTTCCCACAGCGCAACATCCCCACCTCCCTCTCCTCCTCCACACCACCCTCTCCTGAATGCTATTGCACATGACACCATCAATTCCCCATGCTGCTGCAGATGATTTTCTAGGAGCCTAAGAATTCCATTTCCCATGCTGTCGACAACGATTTTAAAAAATCGTCACAAGTCATCCCCTCCTCCAAATATGTTCCTCCCCCCATCTCCTCCTCCCCTTCCCATCATGACTTTTGAGTCCCCTACCAAACTTTTGAGACTCAAAAGTTCCCTCCTCCCTAACATGTCTCTCTCCCCATCTCCTCCCCTTCCCATCCCTCCGCCCCCCCCCCCAGCTGAGCATCATCAACCGCGGCAACAGCAGCATTTCTGATTGGATTGCTGCGGTCACCCTCTCTTCCCTCGCCAACACCTCTGCCGTCTACTCATTCGCGTCTGCCAACATCTCTGGTACAAACCCCTCTCTCTGGTACGACTCCCCCTCTCTGGTACAAACCCCTCTCTCTGGTACGACTCCCCCTCTCTGGTACAAACCCCTCTCTCTGGTACGACTCCCCCTCTCTGGTACAAACCCCTCTCTCTGGTACGACTCCCCCTCTCTGGTACAAACCCCTCTCTCTGGTACAAACCCCTCTCTCTGGTACGACCCCCCCTCTCTCTGGTTCAGTGCTCCCTTCTTGTCACCTCGCTAATCGCCCTCTCTTCCCTCGCCAACACCTCTGCCGTCTACTCATTCGCTTCTGCCAACATCTCTGGTACAAACCCCTCTCTCTGGTACGACTCCCCCTCTCTGGTACAAACCCCTCTCTCTGGTACGACTCCCCCTCTCTGGTACAAACCCCTCTCTCTGGTACGACTCCCCCTCTCTGGTACAAACCCCTCTCTCTGGTACAAACCCCTCTCTCTGGTACGACCCCCCCTCTCTCTGGTTCGGTGCTCCCTTCTTGTCACCTCGCTAATCGCCCTCTCTTCCCTCGCCAACACCTCTGCCGTCTACTCGTTCGCGTCTGCCAACATCTCTGGTACGCCTATCATTGTTCCCCTTGTGCTGATCCCTTTGCTCCGCCTTATCATTTACCACATCCCGGCTCCACAGGCAGCAACAGCTGGCTGGAGGGCACGCTGCCTTATGAGACAGCAACACCACTCACACCATCCGCCCCTTGTCCCGTTTTCCCTTCCCTCTCTATCTCCCCCAAGTCACATCCCTCCTGCTCTACAGCTTCACTGGCAGCAGCTTCTGGCTGGAGGGCACACTGCCGCTAGAGGCATCAACACCACATACCCAGCCCTTTTCCCTTCGTCTCTACCTTATCTTTCCACCCCAGCCACCTCCCGTCTGCTCTACGGCTTCACAGGAAGCAACAGCTGGTTGGAGGGCACGCTGCCTTCCCTCAAGGGCAAGACCTTTGGCAACGTGCAGAGCGTTTTCAAGGTGGGCTGTAGCTCTGCTTGTGGGTTGTAGCTTAGCCTAGTGGGGCTGTAGCTTTCCCTAGTGGGCTGTAGCTTTGCCTAGTGGGTTGTAGCTGAGGAAGAGTGTCTGCCCTCAAGAGGGCTGCAGCTTGGCTTTGTCGGCTTGCATTATCAGCTGTAGCCCGAACTTCGTATGCTCGTTTCAAATGTGGGTTGTAGGCCAAAGCAGGGCCAGTATTCCTCCCAATCGTCTGCTTCCCTTGCTGCCATTGCTCCATGCGGCATGCCCCCCCACACCTCCCCTCTCCTTCGCTCCTTCGCTCCGTGTTTGCTCGGCTTCATTGCATGCGTGGCTGAGAGGAACGGAAGAGGTACGGAAGAGGAACGGAAGAGGAATGGAAGAGGAACGGAAGGCATTATCTCCTCCGTCTCCATCTGTGGCTGATGGAAAGAACCTCTTCCCCTCACTCGTCTCTGTGGCTGATGGAAAGAACCTCTTCCCCTCACTCGTCTCCTTTCACGGCTACTCCTGCTCCATGCCAGACCACTACCCTCTCTCTCGTCCCTCATATTCTTCCCTTCTCCACCCTCTTCCCTTCATTGGTTGGCAGTTTGGCCTACTCCCAGGTCTCAACCTCACTGTGGCTGACGGGAAGAACCTCTTCCCATCACTCATCTCCTTTGACGGCTACTCCTCCATACCGGACCACTTCCCTCTCTACCCTCATATTTCTCATTCCCTTCTCCTCCCACTTCCCTCGGTTGGCAGTTCGGCCTACTCCCAGGTCTCAATCTAACTGCAGCAGACGGAAAGAACCTCTTCCCCTCACTCATCTCCTTTGACGGCTACTCCTGCTCCATGCCAGACCACTTCCCTCTCTACCCTCCGCCTCAGCCCCCTGCCACGGCCATTCCCGCGCGCTATATCGCGGTGATTATAGCAGTATGCCTGGCTGCCATACTCATGTTTGGTGTGCGATTCTAGGCTCAGGTATGCCTCTAGTAGACTCGTGTGTACCCCCAACCACAGCCATTCCCACGCGCTACATTACTGTCATAGTGTGTCTGGCTGCTTTCTTATGTGTGGCATTCGCTTCTAGCTTGTTCTTGGAGACAATTACCTTAGCCTTTCAAGTACCAGTATTGTCTGCCTTAGCCACACAACCTCCCAGCACGGAAGGACAATCCCTGTGATAACCGCAGTGTGCCAGGCAGCTCTGCTAAAGTTCGGTGTGCAATTCTGGAGTGTGGTAAGAGACTCATGTATTTTTACCTCACCTGCTCCTAGTGGGTAACTGATCAATTTGTGGCAAAAGAAGGCAGACTAACATCAGTTTCTACTAAAGCAAGGCTCTACTACTACTGCACCACCACAGTACTGGAGCTTGAAGTCAAAATACAGCCCACCGATACTGCGCTCAAGCAAAATCCGAACCACTGTGCAGCAGAGTCTTTCTCGTACTCTTAGCAGTCAATTAAGTCACTAATCCCCCAAAAAGTACTTCATTATTACCACTATAAACTACAGCTCTCGTACATGAGCACAATGTGTGCTGCAGAGTAGGCCGCTACGCCAACCTACACAAATCAGTTACTAGATCCATCCCATCCCAAGCCAGGCACCCTGACACTATAGAACCATCTTACCAGTAACAGAGAACCACTACCCAGTTACGACCCTGTAACTTGCTGGTTACCATGTGTCATTGTCCCATGGTGAGAGATCCATCTTTGCCCTGAGCTGAGATGGCTCACGGCCACCAATCACCAGACACCCATACCCCACCCACCAGTCAAAACGTGCACTGCACTCCCACAAGCCATGGCCATGGCTTCAAAGTCAGTCTCTGCCACATATTCTCCATGGCTCCATGCTGCCATAGGCCGTTCCGCCATCTGGATGGTACTGGTACTGTAGATGGGGTTGGAGCCCATGGGCCATGCCTTGGATGACAGCATGACATGCTATGGTACCGCTCTATGTCTTGATGACCATGGGCCGCATCATGTCATTGTCCTCATGGTCCAGGATGTGGCAATGCCACACATACCCAGGGCCAGTGGTGGGGTTGAACTCCCATGGCTGCATGTCCTGGATACATCAGTAGGGGAGAGGAAAACAGAGGGGAGAGGGTTAATTGTTTGTACCCGGGGCCAGTGAAGGGGTCAAACTCAAGGGGCATCATGCCTTCAAACATTAAAGTTCAGGGTTTAGGGCTCACCCCACTTCTATATACCCAGTACTTCATGTAATTATACTGATTACAACACACACACACTCACACACACATGCACACACACACACACACATACACACACACACATGCACACACACACACACACACACATACACACACACACATGCACACACACACGCACACACACGCACGCACGCACACACACAAACAAACACACACACACACATACACACACACACACACACACACACACACACACACACACACACACACACACACACACACAAAACTCTCCAAACATACCTGCCGTTTAAAGCTGGCAATTATAGCCAGCACTTCCCCAGGGAAAGCCAAGGTGGTGTCCTTCCAGTCCCTCTCGTATCGAGGAACCAGCTGCCGGTTACCACTGTAACAGCTCGGCTTGGTCTTGTCTGTGAACGAGCAACGGCCGGCCTGGTAACCAGCCACGTCGAACGGGCGGCGCCAGGCGGGGCGGTGCTGGACAAGATGCAGGTGCATGGGATGCGCATCGGCTGTCAGGTTAATGATATACCACGCCTCGGTATCACCCTGTAAGACAAGGGGAAATGAGAAATCAGGATAATGTATCTTCCAACAATCACCCTAAAGCAGCATTGAAGTTTCCATAGTGCTAATGGTGATTGTTATGTATCTTCCAAGATATCTCAAAATTACCTGCTTGGGAGTCTCGGTAACGGGGTCCATCCACGCCTTGCCGTCAATTGTAACGCGGGTGGGAAGATTCGTCGCGCGGTCCATAATTTCCACGAGTGTGTGGTAGCGCTCGCGGTTTATCGCGGGAACCTTGGGCATCCACTGCGTGCGACAAAAACAAGGGGGGCGGCGAGAGAAAGCGAAAATGGTAACAGTTGGGTGGCGACCTCTCACCCTCCCCCAGCACTTGCAATCACGGGCACAAACGGAAAACCGAAGGGAAGGGGAAAAACAGAAGGGGAAGGGGGAAAGGGGGAGAGGGGGAAAGAGAAAGGGGGTTGGTTGGGTTTAAGGGGAGGGGGGGACTCCAGAGATGAGGCCTGTACGCCAACCAATCGGGGAGTGGGATGGGCATGTGCCTCTTATCGAAGTTGACTAAATAAGCATCACCACGCTGGTCTGCCAGTCATAAGTTCACTCTTCACTGGACTTGGGAGGTAAGCTAAGAGCGCGAACTTACGCTGATCTTCTTCGGGATGGGCGGGGAGGGGATGCGCTTCTTCTTGAGGATGTTGATGCGCATCACCACGCCGGTCTGCGCCGTCACGGGCTCCCCCGCGGGGTAGGGCGCGCGCGCGTCGTTCGTTACAATCACGTCCTTGCAGCCCGACGGGAGCTCGGAAAAGTCGACGAGGAGGTCGACGCGCTCGCCCGGCGCGATAAGCACCTCGGTGCGGCGCACGGGGCGGACCAGATAGCCGCCATCAGTGCCGATCTGTGGTGACGGAAGGGGGAGAGGAGAGGGGCGGAAACGACGAAGGGAGGATGGAAGTTGTCAGTCGACAGTCGACGAGGAGGTCAACGCGTTCCGCGGAGCGAGAAGCACCTCGGTGCAGCCCATGGGACGATCGAGATACCCGCCGTCAGTACCGATCCATGGCGGATGGTGAAAAAAAAAGGGGGGATTGGAGACGGGAGAAGTCGACGACTCGTCGACGCGCGCGCCATGTGCCAGAGGCACCTCGGTGCGGCGCGCGGGGGGGCGGGGGACGGGGGACGAGGGGAATGGAAGCGCGGGAAGCAACTCTGGCGGAGAGTTTTCCGCTCACCTGGATGACCGACATTGCTGCGCCCTGGATGGGCGGAATGAAGTTGGGGTAGTCGGCGCGCGCGGCGCACACCCACTTGAGGTTGAACACGCGCGCGTTGGCGGCGTTGAGCAGGCGCATGCGGTACATTGCGGGGCGCACGCGCATGTACGGCCACACCTGGATCATGCGGGGGGGGGGGGGGGAGGGGAAGGGGGAAGAGAATGGCGGGAAGGGAGAGGCGGGCTCTCTCTTGCCCAAACGAGAGAATAACATCCAGGAAGCAACACGTCAGCTCGCAATGCAGCACATCAGCTCGCAATGCTGCATCCCGCACCTTGCTGTTAACGACGATCGTATCTCCCAGGTACTCCGCAAGGTTAGGTAAGGTACGGTACGGTAAGGTAGGGTAACGACGACATGCAGCGCTTGCTCACCTTGCCGTTGACGACGATCGTATCCCCCAGGTACTCCGGGTTCCAGTTCGGATGCACGCGAGGCACGTTCCCCACATTGGGGTAGTTAATCGACCCGTTCGCGAAGAACATGCGATCCGCAATCGCCAGAGCCACCTCGCGAGCCCCGCTTGGTAACCACTTCAGCTTGCGCTCATATCCCTTCGGGTCTTTAATCACATAAAGCGCGCCGATGCCGGCGACGGTATTGAGGCGCGTCCATCCGATCGTGTGGTCGTGGTACCAGATCGCGGCGGGGTTCTGCTTGTTGTGATAGTGGTACAGGCGGGATTTGAACGTGGGACCTGTCTCGCCGAACTGCGTGAACCACGCGAGCGGGTGGCCGTCACTGTCGCTTTCCTGCTCTCCTCCATGGCGATGAGGCACTGGAAGGAAAGGCGGGAGAACAGGCGTACGATATAAGCGAGTCGTACTAGAGCTCGAGACGGGAAATCACATCTCGCGAAAAGAACGAGAATGAAAGAGGAGGCATTGCGCTTCGGCGTCGCCGGTCCTACTAATGGAGGTCGTATTTCGACTCACCAACGGGAATGCCGCCGAGCTTCGGCTTGGGAATGCCGGGCATGAGAGTGTAGTCCACAGTGAACATGTGCTGCCGGTCCATCAGGTGATTCTCGAAATACACCTGCGACGCGACACGGCGGAAGAACGACATCACGACAAAACGTGTATTAGTAAGCTGATCACAACGCAAAGCTTAACACGAACGACGCATGCGACGCTGAGACGATGCATGCGACGCAGGCGCGCGGGATGCGTGCGACGGACACCAACATGCTCTCAACTCAACATACCTGCGTTTCCACGCCACGCTGCGCGACGATGACCGGGCCAGGGTAGTTGGCGGTCTTCTCGTCCTTTCCGTACACGTACTGCTTCGTCGCGGGCAGATCGCGGTGGAATTTCTGGCGGGAAAATAAGGGGACAGACAAACAAACAAATGAACAAGCAGGGAATAACAAGAATGAAAAGCAAGAAATGAGGGAACTGTCCGAGGGGATGCAACATGGCACGCGAAGCGAAGGGGGAGGAAGCGAAAGCACTGCGCAGCAGCATCGGCGGAGGTGTCACATGCAGTGCATTAGCATTGCGCTAGAATGCACCAGAGGCCCGTGCGGACGCACGGGATAAATGCGTCACGCGAAGCTAAGGGGGTGGAAGCGGCTCGCTTCGGAAGCACTGCACAGCAGTATCGGCGGAGGTGTCAAATGCACTGCATTAGCAATGCACCGGAGGCGCGTGCGGACGCATGGGACAATGCGTCGCGGCTAGAAGGTAAAGCCTTGTTCAGTTGTCAACTGACCAGTGTTTCGAATAGCCGGCACTCACCTGATATTTCTGGTACACGCCGATCTTCACCATCTTGCCCGTCGTGCCGTCAATCACGGCGAGCGGGTTCGTTGCGAGGTCGTCGACAAACTTGCAGAGCGGTCTTCGGGGGAAACGGTTTTTGCAGCGCGGCCCGGCGGAGGTTCCGGCGAGGGTTGCGGCGGAAGCGACAAGCGCGGCGCTGCAAAGCAGCGCCACTACGAGCCACGCCCGCGACATGGCTGGGGGTTAGCTGGTAGGAGGCAGAGAGGAGAGCGAACGTGGTGCAGATTTGGCGTGGTCAAACTTTTCAAGTAATGGGCGTGACCAGGATTCTGCTAGATGAAGGGGAGACTGCGGCTGTGCTGAGACAAAACGAAATTCCAAATCCAGCCTTGGGAAACCTGAGATATACGATGTGAATGCAGAACTAAACTGTAGTGGGGCTCTTCTATTGACGGAGCTGCATTGGCTGGGATTGAAGCTGGTTGGGTTTGGGAGTACGTTCGGGACCAGCCATCATACACTAGTGCACTGAGAGCGTGCACCGATGTCGAATTACCCGATTTGTTAAAAAATTGTAACTTCTGGAAAACGCGAAGTACCGCGCCAAAACTAAGGCGGATGTCGGGGATGTCGTTGACATCCGCAGATATTCCTTTTTCGACACGCTATAATATCCTCCCTAACCCACCCCCAGGCACGTACCGCACGCGTAGACAATTCACTCCCCCAGCCAGGCCAGGGCACTCTCACTCAAAGGCGATCTCATCAACCACTTCTGTCCGCACCCCGCCCCTGCTACCTTTTCCTTCTGTAGGCCAGTGGAAGCAGAATGCGAACATGCTCGGTCCAGATGACCAGACAAGCATGGCCACACTATTCTGAGAGGTGCAGCTGCGAAGGTTTTTTGCCGCATACCTTTCTGAAACAAGGGTGCTTTGATGGACAAACGTAAACACCCACATCGCCGCTCATTACGAATTCTCGAAGCTTCGTTCGGGTGTGAGTCGTGGGGTCTGCCTGTGCCTCAAGGTACGGAACTTTGACGAAGTTTGTTGGTTGTGTGAAGTTGACTGCGCGAAAAGTCGTTGTCCATGTGAGATACTTGCCTTGTACCGTCGGGAAACTCCTGCTTGGCAAAACCAAACATTTTGCAGCTGTAAAATATGCCAGCCAGCCAAGTCAAGTAGCGCCACGGTACGAATTCAGCGAAGCGAATTCAGCAGAGCCCGGGGGATCTGGTTTGGAGTACGCTGGAAATGTGGTCAGGGGGGCTGGTTTGGTACAAGGTACGGGCGGTGTGTGTGATGGAATGCGAGGCCTGTTTGGCGGTTCCAATTTCCAGACCACGAGTGAGGTCCAGGCCTCTCGCTAAGCCCCAGGGTATTCCGGAAGGGGATGGAATCGCCTCAGGATCACCCATTAACAGACAAAATTCCCCCCAAAAAACCCGTTACCGAAAGGAATCGGCCGCTACAAATTCGGCTAGCAAGTCATCAAAGGCGGGATTGGGCGGGGGGGTTGGGGGGGGGGGGAGAAGGGGGGTGGGTTGGGTGGGCGGTCGCTATCCCCTACAGATTTCCCTGCTACAAGTACAGCTTGTACGGATTCGAAGAAAATTTCTCATTAGGCTAAGGAGTCGCGCGAAATTGTTTCCGTCAGTTGGACGGATTCGGAAAATATTACACTGTAAAACAATGGAATCACTTGAAACAGTACTCTTAATTTATCGACATCAAGGGTAATTGCCTTGTTAGCAAGAGGCCTGGTGAGGTCGGACCTGGTTAAGGCTTTACGATGAACAAGTCAATGTCGCCCAGATGGATGCCAAACACCACCGCCGCCGCGACCGCGGCCCGGAGCCGCAATGCCGCCCGCCGCGCACAGGGCGTCTCGAAACAAGAAAAAGCGGCTTCGATATGCTGTATGCACTACTTCGTTTGACAAAGCACTAATTCCACACAACACTATGGCGACTTCCACATAGCAAATAACCATCATGGTTATTAACTTATCATGCACCATCGTTGGTCTAGTATAGGTATACATGCCCCTCTTCTAACCTCATTCTTAGAATTGTTGTGGTATTATTCATACTCAGCATTTCTGTAAGTCCTTTAAACGATAGATAGTGCCGAATCCTACTGTAGAAGATAAGTCCGTAGGATGACGTCAACAAATAGCGCTCGTCATTTGACAATCGTTTCAGTCACGCGAACAGTCGCACCTCTTCATTATCATCTAAGGCGCATAGCGCGATAGTGACGAACATGTACATTAGCGAATAGGTACTTTCCTAGAGCTATAAAATCATTGTTGTGTCTTTTGTTATTAACCTTGAGATTTCAATTTTGAAGAACTTTGAGAGTTGACTTCCACAAAATTATATGCTCAGGTTCACTCTTACAAGACTTCCGCTGTCTTACGAGTCTACCATTCGAGTAAAGATCCTAGGCTAACACTTGAGGTTTTCCAAGTGTTCATGTTTGCAGATTCTTTACTTAGTCTCTTGCAACACCTGTCAAATTATTACATGGTATGAGAGCTATCTGTAATCAAGACTACTGTCAACAATGACTGGTTCATCACCAGCACCGTCTACCGGATCAACTTCCGGAACTACTGGAGTACCTGTCTCCTCGACCGCCACTGGTCTCTCAGCCTCTGGACCGTTTCCACCGGCTTATGCGCATATCGGCATGCAGCAACAGCAGCAGAATCCGTCTTCTGTCAGTTACCAGGAATGTCATCAACTGCCCCTGCAGCACAACACCAACAAACACAGACAACAGCACAACAACAAGCATCAGTACAGTAACAGGCATCAGCACAACCACAGTTTTCAACTCAGTCTATATCTTCGGCGTTCAGTGGAATGAGCCTTGACGGCTCGAGTTATATGCGTAGAGCTTCAGCTCCAAGTACTGGCTCATTTGCTTTCTCATCTTTTGCGCAGCAGCCACAGTCATAGCAGCAGCAACATCCCTTTTACGTCTTCGAGCGTCCTCCCGCTCAGCAATAACAACAACAGCAACAGCAGCAACAGCCACAGCAATTTCAGCAACAACAGCAACAGCAACAGCCTCAACAACCGGGTATTATTTTTCAACCACCAAATTTGCTTAACAGTACACAGATTAAGACCACCATACCTTTTAACGGAGTGGATTTTTACTCCTGGAGCTTCGAGTTTGAGCTTCTGGTGCATTCCGCTGGGCTATGGCCGTTCTTCACCGGCGAGCTTATGTATCCTGTCGTAGGGACACAACTGGAGCAGCAGAGTTTCTCGCACGCCTCTCTCGGGGCGTATACAGTACTTGTACGGAACCTGTCGCCGAAAGAACAGCTCGGCGTCCGATCGTTTCATTCAAGCTTCACACCAGCTGAAACTGCATGGAACCACTTGAAGGGGGTATACATGGCAAAAGATACAATAACAGTGAGTAAGATACTTTCGCAGTTAACAAGTGTGCAGATGATGACAAACGAAAATGTCATGGACTACGTCAATCTCGTTCGTACACTACGAGATCAACTGAAGAAGACTGGGGGATACTTCCCTCATGAGATGTATCTCACGGTCCTTCTTGCTGGCCTTGGACCCGAATGGCGACAGACGCGCGCTTTTCTGCGCATGAACCCGAACCTCTCCGAAGCTGAAAATTTGTCGTATCTTCAAGCGGAACAGCAAGATCTTGACCTACAGTCACAACGCAATCAGAAAAAGGGGAGACACTTGAGTTTTTACTCCAATCCAGAACCGCAGCAACGACTTCCCCCAAAATATCCCTTCTGTCATTTCTGCAAGAAACCAAAACACACTTACCAAACTTGTCGCAGTCGCCATCAAAACCGTCGCAGCACTTCACAACCGTATCATCGTTCGCAGCAGTTGCCGAAGCCACATCAGCCAACGCAGCAGTCGCCGTTTCAGACGCAGCAGATGCAGAAACCACTGCAGAATCCATCCCCGTCACAGCATCGTCCTCCTGTTTTTCCATCTGCAACATCTGGAAAAGGGGTTTTTGGATGTGTTACAACAGTTGATATTTCAGAAACTGATTTCGAGACACGACTTGAAGAAACCACAAGTGCTGAAGGCATTCCCTTACCGCAAGTTTATGCTAACCTTGCTCGAGTAATTTCAGGACCCTATACTTGGTATCTCGACAGCTGTTGCGATGAGCACATGTGCTCTGCTGAAACGAGCTTCATCACCAATCAGCGTCCACTTTGTCGTCCAATACCTGTCACAGTTGCAAATGGACAAACTATTATGGCAAGATATGTTGGGAGTGTACTGCTCGAATCAGTCGACACGGGATATTCATTAAACGTTACCAACGTTCTTATCGTTGCCGGACTTGGCTTCAATCTTCTCTCCACAGCTCAACTCCTGGCACACAAGATTCGCACACAAGGGAACTGTGATACAATGGATCAGGAGTTATGGCACATCTTAACGAATACTTACCTCGGTCGTGCTGCTACTCAACATGGCGTGTCAGTTTTTCAGTTCACAGCACAAGGCACTTCTGGTGATTCTGAACGCGTCCTTGCACTTGGTCCCTGGGATCACCCCGAAGAAAGAGATTATCAACACGTGGATATTGATTTTCGAGCAACTACTGTACCAACAGCTTCTCGAACTGCAGCAGCCGTTCTTACCGCACAGGATACTTGGGAGTTCAATACCGCCGAAGAAAGCGCCACCGCGTGGCGAACTTTTTATAATACGTGTGCGGCCTTCCAAGGAACTCCAGCTCCACTTTGGGGCGAAATTAGCGGGCTTGCAGCTGATGAACCCGAGTTCGAAGAAGCTGTGAAAACACAAGTTGCCGAGCAGCCGAGTCTTCAAGTAGCCGCTGCCGGCCCGTCTGCTCACACATCAACAGAAGCAGCATCAAACGTTGCAATAGCAATTGCAACAGAAGCTTCAAACGTTCAGTTACCGCTAACCCGTTTTGTCGAAGGAGAGATTGACATTTCGCCAACTATTTCTACTTTCCTCATTTCTTCGTTTTATACTGACGCCGACTTTTACCTGCGATCATCAGGATTCAAAGCCACAGAGGAAATTTGGCATCAACGGTTAGGGCATCCGTCGCAAGGTATCTTAAATTATTCAATCCGCGCAGCACTTCTTGATAAAAACAGTCTACTTTTACCTGACGGCACGGAGATGAAGCCACAGTCTCTGCGCTCCAACGATTTTGTTGGAGCGAAAGGATGAATCGAACTCTGCAGGAGAAGATGCGTGCCTTGCTGAATCAGGCAGCTCTTCCTCCTCGTTTTTGGCCGTATGCGATGGACCACACCGTGCTGTTACACAACCTGCTGTCTTCCATGTCACTGCCCGAGTTTTCTTCTCCACACCTGCAGTGGACACGAACAGTGGGAAGT